GGCCTTCAAGTCCTGAACAACAATCACTGGATCGATGTTCAGCCCCTGGCTGGTAGTTTAGTAATAAACATTGGAGACCTGTTTCAGGTTAACCAGCTTTCATCGCGATTTGTTAACCATATAATTTTTAGGTTCATTGAACTGGTTTCCGGATAACACTTTCTCATGATTGATCCAGCCTTGATATGTTTCAGATTATATCGAATGACGAGTTCAAAAGTGCTGAGCATAGAGTGGTAGCCAAGCAGGTCGGGCCAAGAATTTCAACAGCGAGCTTCTTCACCGGTGTTGTAGCGCCTCCAAAGATGTATGGTCCAATCGAAGAGCTGATAACAGAAGAAAATCCCCCAATATATGAAGAGTTTACAGTAAGTAATTATAAAAGCAAGTTTTTCTCAAAAGCAATTGACAAATCCAGCCTTGATGAATTCAAGTTACAAGTGTAGAACAGGAGGAATACCATCTTATATTAAGAAGTTCAATTAAGCTTGGAATATATATGTAAACTATGTTTTCTGTAAGACAGAATAACATACTCATGTGCAACTTTTTATTAATTTCTAAGTATTTTGTGTCTTGAATTCGAAGTCGGAATGATTTACATGGTGTACACATAGCATTTCCCATCACTCTATTAGGTATATTAACAAATTAAGATTGCCGGAGTAATGCAACTAAAACTAAAAACAAAACTCTAATTACTTAAATTGGAACAAATTAACTTAATTACAATAAACTAATTTTCTTAATTTAAGTGATAAGTTCGCAACCGACAATGTTTTGATCCTTTATCACATCCTATTCATTTTTTGTTTTTAAATTTCACCATTATCCCCCAAAAGGTGAGTAGAAATCATATCAATTTCCTGGTAAGGCTTACACTACTACTAGAGCTAATCCTTGATTATGCAAATGCAGTGATGGATTCTGAAATTCTTTGTTATGGAATCAAAAATTAAGTTACATTCGTTTTTTCCCGAACATATCTTTCTCTTGAACACTCATTTTATCGATATTTACTCTTCACTCGAAAATGGAGATTTTCGTTTATAATAATTTTCTATAGTTATTTGAAATGAAATTTTCTATTAAAAGAAAAAAAAAATCACCAATGAATTCTGATATTTCATAAGATCCAAAATCATCAAGTTAGGACAAGTTATTGCTTACGTTAAAAATGAGATCAAAGTCGGAACTTGACATTGGCACAAATGTCTTCGAGAAAAATAATTTACTAAAAGTATTTATTTACATTATGAATTTCATTGTTAACGAATATACATATTAAAAACATATATTTGGATAGAGAACTGATTGAAGACCTAATAATACAAGAAATTTATAGAGTAGGAACTTAATTTATTGAGTAGAAAATAGGAACATAATTTTCTAACAGATAAATTGTCTCGAAAGCTCAATAATGCAGAAATTCAAGCATATACCTCAATAAAATTGATAAAATTAAAAAAACTCTTTATAAGTACCAAATTCATAACAAAAATTTCACCATTAGTTGGCTCCATAACTTTATCAAAAAAAAAAAAAAATACCAATTAAAATGAGTTGGGTTGATAAGGGCAGCAGTTCAAATCATAGAGTTTTGAGACGTTTGGGGTTGAAGTGGAGAAGTCAATAGTGATGGTACACGAGTTAAGTTAAAAAGGGAAATATTTTTTTAAAATGGCAAACCTAGGTCTTGGAGGAAAAATGGGATTTGAGGCTTGAGAGCAGTTAGGAAGCAGAATGTTGATGGAAAAATGAGAAGAAAAATCGTGATTGTTACTAATAATTGCCATTGATTTACAAGAGAATGGAAGATAAAACCTGAACAAACCTATAGGTTTAAAATACATTCTTAGCACATGATTTCATTACTTCGAGCTATTAATATGTCAGCCTCTTCACTTGGAGGCTTCACAATGAGAACGGGGCAGTGGACGTCATGACCACAATAGTAGCTAGTGCTTCAAAGGACAGCACTGCGAGCAGAATTTTGTTATACAGTTAATATTTGAGAAGCATATAAAGATTGATGATGACCAAGGATTACATGACATTGCTCCAAAATGTACATGTGGAGTTGTGTTTCTCAAACCACACTTTTATATGTTGGAATGCGATTTTATTCCACTTGCACTCCTATGGACTGTTGGCACTCGCGTATTGATGGATATCTTGTCATGCAAGTTGTGCTTCTTTTGGATCACTGTGGGCCGTTGATTTAATCTGATGGCTGAGATTTGGTCTTCCAAAATTATTGGTTTTAGACTCTTTTGAATTCATTTTGCCTTTTGGGTTTTTGGAGTCTCTTGAGTGTTTTTCTCTCTCTGGTCGACTGTTCTTCTTCCTCCTCTTAGATCCATTGGTTGATAGTGAATATTGTAATGAGATTATGGTATCGGATGATGGAATAACTAACAGTGCAGTGTTCTAGGCCTTGTTTGTGGCTGGTAAATATATACTGAGTTCATGACAAGGTTTTGTCTAGTCATGTAGGCTGGGCTTGTGTTGTGAGATCCTTGTGGATGGATGACCATTTGTGGGTTTGATTTGGTTTAGTCAACTGTTTGTACACTCTCTCTTGAAGGTTTCTTGTTGGTGACGAGCTTACCTCTGAGCTCCCCAAATTAGGTCGTGTTTGGCTGAATTGGGCGAACAATCTATGTGTTTGATTATTTTTCTCGCACTATCTTTTACTCGTTTCTGTTGTTTGTGATTTTTGGGTCAACATTCCCAATAGTGCATCAAATTCTCAAGAAACCTCTTCTATATATTACATGACATTGTGCCAAATCCACTGCTACCAATGACTACAAGATCAACATATAATTATTCCATTTTTTTAAACATGACCCTTTAGATGCAGACTGCCCAGGATATAATTATTCGGGGGCAGACCCACATGGGATGAGTGGGGTCGGCCGTCCTCATAGAATTTTCAAAAACTTTCAATTGGACTTTTTAAAATTTATATTTTCTGATTTTTTTTGGTTTCTTTTACAATTTTTTATCCCATTTTCTATCTCACTCCCACCGATCTATGATTCTGGGTCCGCTCTTGTAATTATTGCATGCCTGAGTAGAATGGAAATAATGGTTATCTTAAATTAAGGTAATCTCTAACATAATATATTAATTTAATTAAATTATTCACCAAATTATAGAAAACCGTGCTTGTGTTGAAGCTACGATTTAAATAAACAAATTCATTATCTCTTTTATAGCTTTATTTTATTTATTTATTTATTTTATTTTTTTGAATAATGTGATTTATCGTGATATTAAATCAGACAAATATCCAGAAAACGAAAGTTTGTAGTACCCATAAAAGAAAACACTAGCTACTTGGATTTAAATAAATGAAAAAAATGAATGTGGTCTTCACATAAGAGCGCATTGAAGACACAATTTAAATAAATGAATTGGTTCATTCCTTAATAGACTACAACTTCTAAATCACGCAGTTTAGCAATACATAGCTTGATGATTTGTTGACTTACATGGTTTCACAAGTTAAAGGGGCTTGTTAATTCTGGGATTGTGAAAATTCCTAAACTATTGTAGAGGGATCAAATCTTGGACCGATCAAATATTCAAGTTCCAACCATTGATCTAAGAGGAATCAAAGCTGATCATGATTTGTAAGAAGATAATCCATGACTTGAAACAAGCATCAAAAGATTGTGGGTTTTTCCAATTCTAGAACTCCACCCGAGTATTTTAGATGGAATGCTAGAGGGAATACGCAAGTTTCATGAGCAATGCTGACATTAAGAAAGAGTTTTACTCTCTCGAATGGTTTAAAAAGGTAAAATATTAAAGAAATATTGATTGTACGTGTCGAGTGCTGCTAATTGGAGGGATACAGTAGCCATTTCTCCGCTGGTTTCAGCCTTTGTTGAACCTCATGAATTGCCAGCAGTTTGCACGTACGTTTTTCAGTTTTCACATTCCTTGCAGTATGCTAGCTGGGTTGAGAGCATCAAATTTGAAATCTGATAGATTGTTTTTGTTTTAGATGGATCTAATTTCTAGTTAGAGCTTTTTGCGTTCTTATATTAAAGTATTAGCTTCCATTTTAAAATGTGAAAGTTTGCTTTGTGCATCATCAAGAATTTAACGAATCATTGTTTCCTTGGGTAGATGTCAAATTGGGGGAAAAAATTAAATAAAATAAAATTTGAAGAAAATCTTTTTTTTTTTTTTTCCTCCAGGCAGAATATCAAGTGAGAATGATGATAAGTACTAAAATTTCTTCTATTGCTAGGATGACCAAAGCTTTTACACTGCATGGAGCAAATTTGCAGTTACTTTTTCATGTATTCAGATTTTTGCGTTTCTGTATCTTCAGTTGTATTGCATGATTTCATCAGCAGTGTTTCTGTATCTTCAGTTGTATTGCATGATTTCATCAGCAGTGTTTATAAGATTTCGCAAGTTTGACATCCAAACGTACTTCCAATAATACCATGACAAATATGCTCCAGAAACAAAACGGTGGGGACCCTCAAAGTTGGGGTTCAACCTTTAATAATACCATGACAAATTAAGTCAAGTCCAATAAATTTGAAGTTGGCTACATAAATTCTAATATCATTGATAGATCTAGAGACAGATCCGAAACAACTGGCTGTGTTTGTTTTAATATGTCACCTTGTTCAACTGAAATCGAGCATTCTTAGTGAATATAGGCTTCTTTAGGTATATGCAACTGCAACTGCTTTCATATGCATAATGCCCTTAATTAAGTTAATTCCATAAATATTTATTTTTGGACTAGCAGAAGTTCAACAATCGAGTACATTGATCAAGTTACACATCTAGGAAAACTTTTTGAGTTATTAGCAGAAGCCCTTGGTCTCAAACAGGATCACCTAGTTTCCATGGGATGCGCCAAAGGACGCACTTTTGTTTGTCACCACTATCCAGCACCAGCATGCCCAAAGCCAGAAATGACTTTGGGAACCAGCAAGCACACTAATCTTGGTTTCTTAGCCATTGTTCTACAAGATCAAATTGTTGGCCTTCAAGTCCTCAAGAATAACCAGAGGATAGATGTTCAGCCCCTAGCTGGGTAATATATGATTTTTTTACTTAGTTGAACTGATTTCTGTGACACCTGTTTCTATGATGTGTTCTGCTTTATCTAATGACGAGCTCAAAAGCGCTGAGGGTATAGTGGAAGCCAACCGGGTAGGATAAAGAATTTTGACTGCATGCGTCCTCATCGGTATTACATTGCCTCAAAACATTTATCGTCCAACCAGGCTTTTTCTTGTATCTTCTCTGTTATGGATTAAACTATAATCCTTGCTTCTGATAGAAACAATAAACCAAAATAAAAAACAAGCAAAGCCCACAAACGTCTACACCCCCATTGTGAAAATTGCATCGAAACAGATTCTATAAATTACACCTCAAGTTGAAAATAAATTTTTAACTACCTGCAAGAGATCTGCAATGTTCACTATTAACGCCCTAGGAGATGAGGGATGTCAATCCACTGGTTCTCATAAACGACTTGTAGGCCAACAATTTGACATTGGTGTACTATAGTTAGGAAGCGACTGTTAGTGTGGCTGCTAAGCCAAGCTATCAATTCTGCTTCAGGTCGAGCTAAATAGTAGTTGCCTAGAAGCAAAAGCCCCTCGGTGCTGTTCATGTTATTCAGGTGATCAGGTTCCATCCCAAAGATTCGGACAGTAGTTCAAAGAGAATATGCCCCAACCTCACTATGTAGCATACTCGGTCGTTATGCCTCTGAAAATCATGCAAGTAATGTTACAAACATAGAACCTTTGTATGCTTCGATACATGTAATACAAACTGTTTCGCGCGGGTTCGTCGCTAACAATTAAAAAGGGATCAGAAGATTGTGTAAGGGACAAACCTCTTGAGACAAAATCCCAAAAAGGAGTGTTCTTTATTGGTGATGACTTTACAATCAGAAAGTAAAAACAGAATGCCTCCAAGGGGCGCAAGCACACGAGTTACTGAAAGAAGTGTTTAAATCTAAACCAAGAAATTTAAAATTACATGTTCTCTATTCGAGAGTTTTTGATTCGGGGTCTTTGCTCTATGTCTTTTCTTCCTTTTATACTCCTTGGATGATCTCTTTGTGATCAACCGCCTAAAAACTGTTTGATCATTCTATAACTGCCCACTTTTCTCGTAATGGCCGACTTGTCATGGAACTGCCTTTTCTAACTGCTGTCATTACTCTTTGTCGTTCAACCGTCTTCAATTGAATTCTTTGAATCGTGGAACGTGATAGGGCTGCTTAACAACCGCTTTGATAACTGCACTTCTTGATAACCATAACACTTCATGTTTGCTAAGACCTTGAGCGACTCGAAGGTTTGGGTGAGAATAGAGTAGCAGCTCTGGGCGACTGCATGACATTCCATTCGCTCAGATCCTGGGCGACTTGCAAGCTTGGGCGATGGTGTTACCGCATTCATGGGCCTCCCTATTTGGGCCTTCATCCTGAATTGTCTGATTGGGTTTCGTTCTTTGGGCTATCTGATTTGGGGATCCTCCGATTGGGCTTTATTCCTTGGGCCGTTCGATTTGGTCTGAATTTTTATGTGTAAACAATTACCCCTCAATATGGCAGAATTAATACCAATTATTAAATTTTGCCATATTCACTTTTGTGTCTCCAGCAACATTTGAAATTCCCAAGAATTTCAATTATTATTTTCTTCCATAACTTTGAAAAGGTGCGACATTTTGCAAACCCTTATAACCCCCAAATACGTCATTTCACTGCACCATTAAATCACGCATCACTTTTTCGCGTTTCTTTCTCATAATTTTACTGTTCATCTCTTTGCTTCCCTGCTACGTAATTCCGAAAAACTCCATTTCGTCCCTAATGGCTACTTCACAATCTCAATCTGGCGACTCCTTTAGTTTTGAAGACTTTCAGAAACTCCTTAATCGTCCATACATAACTCCGAACTTTCTCGCACCTACCAATGTCGAACTCAATGAGTTCTACCTAGGTCCTTTCTTCAACAATGCAGAGGTAGTCGAACAAGTGGCGGTGGGCCAGCTGTTTCCTTGTACTCAAGGCCCTCCATTTCTAAACTCTCTGCCGCTGGGGCCACTTCGCGAAAGAGGTATTCGCACTTGGCCAAAATCTGACGTATTTTTCCGTAGGTGGCGTGCTCGCCTTGTGGACCATGGTCCTACTAAGGCGCTTTTTGATTATGCTAGGATTTCTGATTTGTTAGAAATCTCTCTTCAACCCCCTACTTTTGATTCAGCACTTTTTTCGATCGCTTTAAGTTTTTAATCTTCTGAGTATAATACATTTGTTTTCCCTTTTGGCCCTATGTCTATTACTTTAAGGGATGTTAGGGCCCTAGTGAATCTGCCACCTCTGGGCGATACCATTTTTTCTGGTATCTTGGTTTCTGGTGGCGCCCAAAAGTTTGGTAAAAACCTTACCAAATCTTATTCAAGCCTGCAAACCCTTCATAACCATTCGAGCGCTGAGCCTTCCCATACTGAGCGAGTGGCCTTTCTTCTGGTTTGACTTTGTAAATATGTTTTGTGTGTGCTAAGTATAAAGCCCTCCCTGAGCAATTTACCTATAGCGCACGAATTGGCGCGTGGTAGGTCTCTGAATTTATGTTCTTTCTTTTTAGCTGCTCTCTATAGAGGCATGGCTTCTCTTCAATTTCAATTGAAGAATGGTACATCTCTTACTGGCAGTGGACCTCTTTGGTTCACTCATATGTGGTTGAGATCATATTTTCCATCGTTTGGTGCTCCATCATTTTCTCGTCCTTCTGTTAGTTGCTATGGGCTAGCCATTGAGCCCTGGCTTCTGTAAATATGTTTAGAAGGGACATTTTTTCATTCTTTTATTATTTGGATTCAATCACTTCCTTTTTTCCTTTTCCTCCCTTTTTAACTCCAGACTATGTGCATCCTCCCTCCACTATAGACAGCGTGAGTACCTCTCTACTCATTTGGATCCAGTTTTTAACCGGGAGGGAGTTATTTCATGATATTTTGACTGGGACCAATGCCAAGGCTAGGGTAGAAATATATGCTCCCCAATTTTTTGCTCACCAACTTGGTTTCGGCCAAACCTGACCTATTCCTCCTTGCTATTCAAGAAACTTGATAGACCGCTTCCATATTATTAATAAGGCGGAGGCAGAGGTTATAAATGCTCGTAATCTTCTTTTGATGAGCCATTTTTCATTAGCCCCCTTCAATTCTAGCCGTGCCATCCATCCCCTTTTTGAACAACTCTGGCCGTCAGTAAAGCGCAGATTATTTGCGACTGATGCCAATCGTATCTTTCATTCACTGGACCAGCCACGCATTTCTTCCCCTTCTCCTGTTTTAATCATCCCTTTGTCCATCCGGAGTCCTTCTCCTCCTCGTCGCGCTAAACAGCCTGCTCGTCCATCTTCTTCTCTCCCTACCAAGCCTACTGCAGCCAAAAGAGCCCCGAGCCGCAAACGGCCAGCCTCAACATCTCCCATTCTGGAGGATGATGTTGATGATGATGATGATGATACCCCTCTTATCATCAGGAGGAAGGTAATTAAATTGGTTTACTCACAAGCATACTTTTCCATACTTGAAACTTTTCTGTGTGCTGATGGTTTTTTTGGACTTCTCAGAAAAGTTCAGCCTTTCCTTTGAAGGCTTTGGTATCGGCAACTCCTGTTCCATCATCCTCCGCTGAGGCTGCTTCATCCAAACCAGCTGATGAAGGGACTACGCTTAAAGAGACGTCTTCAATCCCAGAATCCTCATCACAACCAATGGATGAGCCACCTTCTTCCCAGGGCATTAACCCCCCAAACATCGAAGCAGAAGGTAATTCAGTTTTTTTATGCTTTACCTTTGCTTGTGCTATTGGTTTCTGATTTGTTGCTTTTGAGTTCTGCAGATACTCCTATAAGTCTGCCCGTTGTGGCAACATCTTCTCGCTCAGACAAGGGGAAGTCCTCACGAATGGTGGAGCCACAGGTGGAAGACTTGGCTGAGGATATGTCATCTTCCAAGAATATTGATGAGACAATCTTTGCTTTACTTTTATTTCCATCTTGTTCGTTGTAGTGAGAATCTTCAATATTGGCAATTTTCTTTGCAGGATGCTGATAAGATTGTGCGTTCCATCCAAGACTTGTTCGCTTCCTGAGGGCAAGTCAAGACATCTCGCCCTGCTCCAGCTGGTCGTCCTGCTACTTCTTCAGAGGAAGATATGAAGTTTCTCAAGCAGTCGATATTTGAGTACGTATCCTTCATGGATATGGACATTGGTAAGGCTAGTGCTGCCAGATATAAGGATAAGCTTGAGCATTTGAATGTGAAGTTGGAGCAAGCAATGACACTTCCGTCGCTCAATCTTTCTGCTGATTTTAAAGCGACGTTGAAAGTTATCCATTCCGAGGTCCTCTCCTTGCTGGCCAAGAATGTTGAACTAAAGGCCAAAAGTACTCAATATTTTCGCGCCGTATTTGAAAAAAAGTCTTTGCATCAGGAGATCAACAAAGCTGAGGACGAGTTGAAAGAAATCTCTTCCGAAGTTATGATTGAAGACTCTTTGATGGCTAGTTTGGCTGCTCAGATGAAGGAACTTCAAACCAAAATGGACGACTGTAAGGCGAGAATGGCTGCTAAAAAGCGTAACGCCTCCTAGGGAATTGAGCGAACTAAGTCTTTGGTCGAGCAGTACAAGAAGTTGGAAGTTGATGATGATGTCGTGGCTGAATTGAACATCACTTCCTCTCAGCAGAACGAGGACTGGGAAAAACTTAGGGAAAGAATTTGTTCGGTATGAGGCGGATTGTAATTAAGACATATAACGCCTTAACTTTTTCTTTTTGTAATTTCGCATTTGACTTTCCCTTTGTAACCTTGTTCATCATTAATGAAAATCCATGTTAACTTCTTGTGCATTTATTTGACATTTGTCTTTTAATCGCCAATCCTTCAAGCATTTAACTGCTTTGTACTAAAAATCTTGCACATTTTCTCTTGATATTTCCACTTCTTTTCCTAAGACTTTGGGCTACTTAATTCCATTTATTAGGCAAAATGTGGC